GTCGTATCGTCGAATGAGTCTTACAATGTTTACGACGAAACAGTAGTAAAGGAAGGAGCACATGAAGTAGCTTCATTTTTTTCATTTCGTTATGACCGAATTGGACCCAAAAGCCAAAGAGCTAGATAGATTCTGCGACTGATGTGGTGGACAAAATATGAAAAAGTAAATCGGTCCCAGGCCTAGGTCTTACCGTGCCACCTACGGTAATAGCTACTTCCCTATAGGGAAATTCGTTAAAACAAAAAAAAAACAACAACAAAACAACTTGCCGGTCCCAGACATAAAGACAAACGATGTGTATTACAGACGCCAGCTCACTAAAATAAAGTTATAATAAAATAACTGAAATTTGCATGTTTAAAATACATGTCGTATCGTCGAATGAATCTTACAATGTTTACGACGAAACAGTAGTAAAGGAAGGAGCACATGAAGTAGCTTAATTTTTTATGGATAAAAAAAACAAACAAAAAAAACAACAACAAAACAACTTGCCAGTCCCAGACATAAAGACAAACAATGTGTATTACAGACGCCAGCTCACTAAAATAAAGTTATAAAAATAACTGAAATTTGCATGTTTAAAATACATGTCGTATCGTCGAATGAGTCTTACAATGTTTACGACGAAACAGTAGTAAAGGAAGGAGCACATGAAGTAGCTTCATTTTTTTTCATTTCGTTATGACCGAATTGGACCCAAAAGCCAAAGAGCTAGATAGATTCTGCGACTGATGTGGTGGACAAAATATGAAAAAGTAAATCGGTCCCAGGCCTAGGTCTTACCGTGCCACCTACGGTAATAGCTACTTCCCTATAGGGAAATTCGTTAAAACAAAAAAAAACAACAACAAAACAACTTGCCGGTCCCAGACATAAAGACAAACGATGTGTATTACAGACGCCAGCTCACTAAAATAAAGTTATAATAAAATAACTGAAATTTGCATGTTTAAAATACATGTCGTATCGTCGAATGAATCTTACAATGTTTACGACGAAACAGTAGTAAAGGAAGGAGCACATGAAGTAGCTTCATTTTTTTTTATTTCGTTATGACCGAATTGGACCCAAAAGCCAAAGAGCTAGATAGATTCTGCGACTGATGTGGTGGACAAAATAAAAACTAGACCATGTTGAGAATAATTCACTATCTGGTTCATCATGTAAAACATGTAAAAAGACTCGATAGCGTTGAGATGAATTTCCATATACGTGGCCATTCTTATTTGGAATGCTTCCGAAATATGGTCTGCATAAATCAGAAGTAGTGGGCCTGAGGATTGGTATGAAGAGTGTCAGAGTGCAAGAGCTAGAAAAGCCCTCTTAACAGCATACAACACACACACATTACAGCCTTCCCCATTTCAAGTCATCGAGGTTATTAAAGAGCTTATTCGTAAGTGGACATTGCTCTTTAGTGGGCTCGATCACAAAAGTTGCCCTTTTAAGTCAAGATCAGTTAGAGAGTTGGTCGTCATGGAACAACATCCTCGACTTTTAAAAGTAACATTCGGAATCCAAATAAAGTTTAACATTTGAAAATAGCACATGTTGTAAATGTCCCTACAAAAACATTTTCATCTATTTATTCTTAATACTATTGGATCATCACAGCTTAATAAATGGTACAGATTATTACGTTATAAATGGATATAAAGATCAGAACTTTGAGCTTGAACCTAGAAACATGTGCTTATTTTAACATGTAGTAACAAAATACAACAGGAAAATTTACCATGTGCGACTTACTGAATTCTAAGATATAACAATAAATAACACTAACTACTTACAATTTCGGGCACCCACAATGAACACTGACACAATTTGAAGGATAGGGATGAGGAATTGTAACTAGCTGGTATACTAAATAAAAACGCCATCAATTTGAACTCGTGTGACGAACGTGAAATTTCCAAATGGCGGATTAGCGTTGGCCGGTAAAAACGAACGTTTTTTTAACACTTTTTGACTTACAAAACTGATTATAATTCCCAACCGCGTTGCAATTATATCCCTTCGGGATATAGGCTAAACTATTTTGAGGAAATTTAAGATTGTCCGACCAACACCGCGAAATGAATTTAATTTGCACGACGCGAAGGTTCACCGACTAGTACAAGGACAAGGGAACGACAGACACTGATACACTCGTTGCTGGCGGCTCGTTCTATCCCTACCACTTTGGTTGGAATTGTGGGTAATTGACCAGCTGACTATTTGTTTGCGTCTGCTACACGTTAATTCGTTGTTTATACGACGAAATCGGTACAGTGTCAATACAAACAAATTACGATGTTAAAAAATTCAGAAACCCTAAAAAGACTAGAACATTCGTACAGGCAACTATACACCAGGCGTGCGATCGATGTGGGAACTGGAAGACCGGCCTATGTGGCACAAGATAGATTAATTGCAAGTGCTACGGATGGCCTCTGTCAAGGATTTTCTTCCATATTTGATTTCTTGATGCGAACAAGCCAATCGGTCAACGATGCCATTGTCACTCCTGGCGTTGACAGTGAGGAAGGAGAGGATGACGAGGACTTCGGGCCACCGCCGCAGGGACCACCTAACTTCGGTGAGTCAATATTTTATGGTTGAAAGATTGTATATCCCATTTTCTCATCGTACATTTAACGATAATTGGGTGATTTAATTTTTATTTTTGACTCTAGGCCGTGATGAGTATCGTTTACCTACAATTGTGGTAGTTCTTTCAATTTTACAACATATATTATAAGTTAGATGAAACTTTGCACCGTTGGTAGGGAGCATAATGCATCACTAACCAGAAATTGTGGATAGTAATTCTGACTTAGAAACACCATAACAAGGAAAATGGAAAACTTTTTTTAGAATAAAATAGGTAAATTCTTTCTCATTCTCTTACTGGAATATATATTCTGGAACTTAATAACGGTTGTACAGTGTGATTATATTAAAGAATTAATATTGTAAACAACGCTCCATTTACAGATCCGGCAATCCTAGATATGGGCATACAACCCAGGAACAGGGGGCGTGGGATAGGAAGGAAGGACCCGTGAAAGTTGAAAGAAGAATGAACCGTGGGCTAGAGATGGTGGAAGGTAAATATTGACACAATAAGTAACATACGTACAAGGGGGGGGGAGAAGCCTGGCTAGGTATAGTTTATTACAAATGTAAGAACAATATAAACGAAACCCACGTGTTATTTACAACTGATGTGGATTTGTATTATTTAGTTTAGGCTCTTGTGAACGAGTTAATCTCCTACTCACCTATTGATAAAAATTTGTGAGTTATCAATTTCATTGCAACAACTGTACACATATTTTGAACTTTGAAGGTCATTTCTTGTCAATGTTTTCTGTAGATGAAGAAAATGTTGATGATCCTGCCATTCCTAATCACTTAAATGCACCAACTCGTGGGCGTGAAAGAGGTCGCGGGAGGGGTGGTGAGAACAATTTTACTTACATATTACATTTGCTTGATATTATTTGTGAAAAATAAAGAAAAACAAGATAAATCTGTTGTGTAAGATTTTATTTGGAGATAAAATTGCATACTTTTATTTAAACGTAGTGTTCGGGACTAATAGCTGGACCAACTATCGTCTCATGCAACCATCAGCTGTGTTGCTCACTTAATCCTCGTTTCCGTTCGCAAGTTGTTACATTATATTGCTGTTAGTTCAGAAATATGTATATTATTGGTGTGATAATTATATTTTAGTGATTGTAGTTAAGTATTATCAATGACTAGCTATACCCGCGGGCTTTGCTCCGTTTAACGTCAAAAGTATTCGCATGGCTCAATCACGTCCTGGTTGAAGTTCGTTCGCTACGCGTACTCACCTTTAGGTTGGAGCTCGTTCGCTGCGCTCACTTGTTTTCAGGCTAGCTCGTTCGCTACGCTAACTCGCCTCTAGGTTGATGTTCGTTCGCTACGCTCACTCACCTTTAGGTTGCAAATTAGCTGTTGTCATAAATTACAAAAAAGTCATCCCTTTTATTGTTTATAATACTTTGATAAAGGTTTTTATGTTTTAATATTCAACATTGAAGAATTTAAACGTTGTTAAGTGCACAGGTGTGCTGCGATTGGGGTTTAATACATTTGGACTTACAGTATTCAAAAGTAAAATAGTTTTCTGTGCTGCACTCTGTAGAAACACTGTGGCACAATTTCAAATCATGACTATTGCTAATACAGAATGTTATGATTATTCAAACCTACAAAACAGTTGGTGAAAGCTTAGAGTAATAAAACAAAAAGTTTTGTTTTATTACTCTGAGGTGAAAGTAAACATCTGCTTTTGAATTATATTTATTTGTAAACATTGTAGATCAAAAAGTCTGACATTGGCCCACTTAAAACCCTCTGGGGCAGAGCCCTTTTGACGGATCTGCACCAAACTTCACTCGAACCATCCTTGAAAGATAACGAAATAATGCCTGAAAGTTTCCTTACAATCTGTCGAGCGGTTTCGGAGTCCGTAACGTATATACATATAGGTATACACACATCTATAGTTCCCCTTTTATAGATATAGATACACGATTGTGTCTAATTACAGACAAATGTTTTTAATCTACCAACTAACCTCTGTAATTTTTTTTGTTGATGTTAGTTTTGCTTATGTGGATATTGCATAGCTTACTCGAGTTAGGTTAAAATAACATTTTTTATATACGTGTGGTTTTTTATCCGGCCAAGACTTTGTGGTCACCTTGTATATTATGTTCTCTGACATATTATTTTTTTTTGTGTCAATGACATAAAAATTATTGGTCACAAAAAACATTTGCTCAGGTACGGTAATTAACTATGACGTGAAAATACTTGTGGTGTACATTTTATTTATTCTGTCAGAAAATGGTGGGCAGCCTAGAGAAATTCCTCAAGAAGAAAGAGGCCACAGAGGGAGAGACCGAAGAGGAAGAGGAGGAAGAGGGTTAGGACGAGGTCGCGGTCATGCCTAAACCAGGTGGAAGATGAGCCACTGGTCAAACCAGCACCCGCACAGGCACAGGCACCGGGACCAGCACCCGAACAGGCACCGGCACCGGCACAGGAACCGGGACCAGCACCCGAACAGGCACAGGCACCGGCACAGGAACCGGGACCAGCACCCGAACAGGCACAGGCACCAGCACCCGCACCGGCACAGGCACCGGGACCAGCACCCGAACAGGCACCGGCACCGGCACAGGAACCGGGACCAGCATCCGCACAGGCACAGGCACCGGCACAGGAACCGGGACCAGCACCCGAACAGGCACCGGCACCAGCACCCGCACAGGCACGGGCACAGGCACCGGCACCATCACTCGTACAGGCACCAGCACTCGTACAGGCACCAGCACTAGATATCGACGACCTAGAGCTGGAACTCGATATCGTAAGTCAAAGTATTTAATTTGATGGAATAACTGAAACTATGTTTTAATGTATAAAGAGTTTACCGATTATAACTATGTCCTTGATATTGTTTACAAAATGAACAACTCTAATAATTTATCTTCACCATGAGCTATGTTTTCCTTTAAACTTCAAAATAACGATACTAAATTAACTATAATTTTTTAAATAATTTTTACCATAGATAATGCATAATATTCATTACTTTTTCTGTAATATATCAACTAATCAATTGATTTCAGTGTGAGGCCAGGCCATCAAAACTAATACACAGAGAAATTAAATCACAAAAAGAAGCAGATCGCTTGTTGACTAGGAACGATGTCAAACTGATCCGAACTAGCACTACTAACTAGCGTTCAAAAGGAAAGACTACGCCATATGCCTAAATTACCAAAGTCTCTAGAAGAAGTACAACAGGCATTGGACAAGATCTACATAAGGACCTCAAGGACGAACTGTTTTTACTAGTCAATGACAAGGAGGCGCGTGTTTCTATTTTCTCTTGTGACACTAATCTTCAAGGTTTAACTGACAGTGAGTAATATTTATGGATGGCACGTTCGAGTACGCTCCTAAATATATCACGCAGTTGTTTACCCTCCACGGCTATGTAAACGACGTATACGTTCCTTTGGTATTCTGCCTGCTTCCGGACAAAAAAGGAGACATATTCAGATGTACTTAGGATGATTAAGGTGTGTATATGCAAATGTATGTTAACTTAGGTTAAAGTGGGGAAAAGTTTGAGTACATTTAGTATTTTTATTTTATTTTGAATTATTAAACTTTTTGTATAAACTATTTTATAAACAAATATTTTGTGCGTATGCTTGCCCTAAAATTAAAATTTTAATTTAATTAGATTTTTTATAATTTTTACTATGTAGTCCGATCACGGCAATAGAGGTTTCCTATTTCCCAATTTTCGGAAACGTGTTTTTTAAAAGTGAATTTAAAGTGTTTTTATTGTTAACATTCCAGTAATCCGGCATTTTAACTTATCCGGTAGTATCACGGTTCTAGGCCTATATCTACCGGATCACGGTACTGCGAGTCTAATGCATTTACTCAAACGGTGGTTAATAGAACAAATTTTATTTATCTGTGTTCAATACTTGGTTCAAAGTTCTAAGACTATTTTTGTGTTTCAGTGATGGATAAAATGAACCACATGATTGGAATGATTGCCTCGCTGAGTGAAAAGGTCGACCAAATCAACCAAAGGATTAATAATTTAAACGCAAATCAGATTATTGGCACACAATATAACGAAGATATGTTAAAGTTTTTGCCAATAAAGACGATTGGGGAGTTTGAAGAATTTGAAGTAAAATTAGAAGAAGAATTCTTCAAAAAATCCTTTGTAAGTATAGGTAGTGTTTAAAACCTAACTTTTATATGTATTGTTTCTATTAACACATTAGCTACCGACCATACTCACCCCTCAGTTACAGTGTAGAGTGGTCGGTAGGGAGCGTGATAATGGCTTAACATGAGATACTTCTCTTACAATTTTTATTTTATTTTTTCTAAAAATGTTACAGTGTTGAACCTTTCTCACCCACATTAAATCTTTTAAACTTAGTTTAAAAATTACCGTACTCAAAATTTTTATTTTTTTTTAGAAATGCTCCCTATTTTTTATGATAATATGATTGAATATTGAAAAGTCGATTTAAAAATATATAAATTATTCTGTGTTTTCATTCAATTGTATTGCAAAAAAGTCATTTTATGCAAATTAGAGGACGAAAGACTGTGTCAGTGTCAGTTGTGTGATGCCATTTATTCTAAATGAGATTCCATCAATTCTTTCTTCGCTAAAGCCTGGATACTAGGGTAGGATTTAAATTTTTTTGCAGAAGTTACCCTTACAATTAAAAATTAAATAGATTTGGTAAGCTTAACATTAAAATGGATAGGCCTACTAGAATGTTTCATCAAGTAACTGATACTTTTTATTTTAAGGTGAAAGTGTCTACACTTGGAGGAAAAGATGCACATTTTTATGATTAATATCCTAAAAGCAACATTAGTGGACGAAGTTGCAGAATTGTTTTCCCTTACAGGAAAGAAAATGGGAAATTTCCCCCTTAAGAGGAAGTTCCTAGAAACGAAAACTTGTTGCTCGATGTTTGGTAAGCATTTTTTATGATATTTTTACTTGATTAATAATTTGCAAGAATGTACTTTAGAGGTTCAAGAATTGTCTTTTTTCAGATATTTTTCATTTTGATGTCCCCAGAAGTCAAAAACACCATTCGTTCAAATTGATACATATATATATATATATATATATATATATATATATATATATATATATATATATATATATACGGTGTGTATATGCAAATGTATGTTAACTTAGGTTAAAGTGGGGAAAAGTTTGAGTACATTTAGTATTTTTATTTTATTTTGAATTATTAAACTTTTATATTTCTGCCTTTTATATTTCAGTGTGAGGCCAGGCCATCAAAACTCATACACAGAGAAATTAAATCACAAAAAGAAGCAGATCGCTTGTTGACTAGGAACGATGTCAAACTGATCCGAACTAGCACTACTAACTAGCTAGTAAACTTATATATATTATATTTATATTTATATTTATATGATTATATATATTATGTGTGTGTGTGTGTCCGTCCAGTATGTATATAATATTGAGTAATTTTTATCCGGTTTTGATAAGAGATGGTCCTCATGACTAACAACTGTATAAATTGTAATTTAAACTTATGTAAATATCTTAAAAATATATAATGTTAAGTGCACTTTTTCTTTGTTTGATTTCCATTGTCAAACCTTCTCTCATTAAGATAATTT